CGTAGTCGTGAAAGATAAAGTTGAACCATCTTTCACAACACAATTTACAACTAGTAGCAGCAGCTTACAACTGCGATTTACAACAATTCACAACCACTTACGTCTACGTTTACGCAATTGTAGACCGGGCTTTAATACTTTACCATATTGCATTATATAAAACCCATCATATAATAAATAAATCTAAATATAGACGTATTTAATTAAACAAATGTTTTAAAATTTTCTTAAAGGTATCCATAATAATAATAATAATAAAGAGAACAAAGAAGAAAAAATAAATTTCTTAATTTACTTTTCCACATTTCAACAATCGAAATATTTCATATAATTAAGTTAGGTAACACATTGTTGTGTAAATAAATATTTCAACTATTTTGAGAATTTATCGATACTTACATTTCAATTATCTATTAATAAAATAATTAAACAAAACTAATTTCTGCGAAATTTAAAAAATTTTATGTTCAGTTTGTAAGCTACTTCAATAATTTTAGTAATAGTTTATTCTATTAATAATTATATAAGCATAGACTTCAACTTTTTTTAACAAATAAATATAAATATAAATAAATATAAGTAAAAATAAATTGTAATTATATATATATAATATATTTGTAGTAAAATATAACCGTAATTAATTACAATTACCATGTCATTACAAAATTACAATATCCAGAAAGTTAAACATTAGTTAAACATTAGTAAACAGTTTGCCTTCTCAGAACTGTAATACATTTGACTGTTTACATTGAATGTTTATTTTACATTTGAATGCTCACAGATTCTAATTGCTGTATTTTTGTAATTCAGATAGTTAGTGTTGACAGTTAGTGATGATTTTTATTGATTAATTCATTTTGTATTATTTGCTAATACTACAAAAAAGAGATACAACATTATACTATGTTAAATAAAAATAGGATTTAAATTTTTAATCTGTCATGCACGTTAATTTAGTTGATTATGACTTAAAAAAAGGTACAAGACTTCAAAATATTATTTCGTATTTGAGGATTTCACATTCTAGGCAAAAGATAGAAAGTGTGTAATAATGGAACATTCTTGCGTCAGAAACGATAAATAAATCCACTTATATCCTTCTTGCTCATGTATGTTGCAATTGTTTAATATTAAACTTGTCCTTAACATAGAAAATTTACGTAGTTTTAATATTTATTAATATTAGCCAAATTCTAAAAAGAGTATATTATAGACTCTTCAATAAAAATAATTAGTTAAAGAAAGGCACTAAAAATTAATACGCAGAACTCGTTGCGTTAAAAATTTCTCATAAAATTATTTTCAGTAAAGTAAGTTACATCTTCTTACACATCTGTCGTACGTTTCAGTCTACTTCAGACTTTCTTCAGCGATAAATACAGTAAAGAAAGTTACGCCATAATTACAAATATTCCGTTCCTAATTGTCAAGATGTTCCGTAATGTATGAGGCGGGTCTTCAATTTCATGATTGAATGCAAAAGTCATCTATGTGAATCACAATGTTAAAAAATATAAACTTAAGTCGTTATGTGAATGATTCCAAGCACCCTTTACTCACCATTTCGAAATAAATCAAGATGGATGTAATAAGATCACTCACAAAAGTTAATTGCATTAAAATGCGCACGTGTGTTAACACATCCGTGGTCACCTTTCAAATGTTCCGTTTTAAACAGAACCGTAATGGTATTAAAGTTAAAAAAACAAACATGTAAATATATATTTTAGGCAAAGTCATAAGAGATAATGTCAACTATCTATTTGAATTTCGTTATGATCAAAGCGAAAGCATGATGTAAAAAATCCGCCAAATTAGCCAAATTGTTAAGATACCTAATAACGTTGTCCGTAAGAGCTGAAGAGTTATCAAGTAAAGTTATTTAAAACCAAATGTATTTCTTTCACTATTTTATGGAAAATTAAAATATTATGTATGTAACATTGCGACGGAAATAAATGTGTTGCATATACTATTATTTACTTACGTAATTCTTCTGCAGTATAAGCCGTTACAAACACGAAAGCAAAGAGTAATGCGACAAACATTTTTCGCACGGAGATTTTCTCCAAAGTAGTACACTGCGAAACGATCTTAACAAATGAACAATGAAAATTAAACCAACACTAATGTAAACCGGTCGGACTTTTATACATTGCAGAATCCCTTTTTTGCAGAAACTTATAACCCCTCTCTAAATTTTTGTGGCACATGCGTAGACTGTATTGATGACAAATATCGATAGACACTATGTTGTAATTGCAAGGCAATCTTCAATTATTTGAAGTAGAAGAGAAGGAAATGAATTATAATTTTCAACTACTCCAGCCGGAGAAGAGGAGGAAATTAAGTAGACGGAAATTGATTTGTTTACTGTATAACTTATGTGTCTTTATGTATTTATTCATTTTCGTTCTAGATTAATATAATAATTAGTTTTTTCTTACTCTGTAATTGTATCATTTATTCTAAGTTTTCTTCGACAATCTAAGACTGTCTGAAGCTATATATGGAAAGTGATAAATTTTATAATGCTTTTATGCAATAAGGAATAAAGAATAAAAATAAAATTTTGTCTTATAGTATGAGAAACAAATTTTTATTTAAACAAAACTTTACTGTAGTAGCAATAAATAAATTATGAATTCTCATTAAAACTTGCGAATGCAATGTTCTGTAAAAAATTACTATTGCAATGTTAGTATAACAAATTAAAGCATGAGAATCAAATTAACAATAGGTTATAAACTTAAATACGTAATGCAATTCAAAAACTCTTTTTATTTATCATGTATATCAAAACATAACCGTTTTTAAAAGCCATATATCTATAATTACCCAAAGGTTATATATTTTCCAATCTCGCACATTTTCCGATATCTTTAATTATACCTACGTACATTTTTCTTATGTACGTTTTATGCATTTTACGTTTATGTAATCGCGTTATTCATATTCCTACAATTTTTGTTTTAAAAAGATCGTGTTTTAATTGCATGAATTTTTAATTAAATATTCTTTTTAATTTAATGTTATTTACAGATAATAAAGAAAATATAAGTATTATTTAATTTAAGCGTCATGCAATCATACATTGAATGAAATTGTTTTTTATTAGGAATTTGAGATTATATTTGCAATAAACTAGTACACAAAAAAACGAATTTGCTAGGTCTAAAAATTTTGCTAGATACAGATCTGAAAATAATTTTGTTGAGTTATCAAAATAATTTTATTTGAAATTCAAAGTGGTAAAATATCGAAACGTTATACAGAAATGCTCATCATTTCTGAGTTTCCAACAAAATTAGTTTCAGATCTGTACTCAGCAAAATTTTTAGATTTTTCAAAAATTCTTTTTTTGCACTTAAGAAAAATATAATTATAATTTTAATATTTTCTGCATTTTTTATGTATAATCACATTTAGTCCATCTCTTTGTGGCATGATATTATTGCAAATAAAGCTTTATTCAGTTAAAAATATTTTACTTGCATATTTTTAAATTATCGATATTGATGCTTGGATTAAAAAGTTAGGCAAATTAAATAAGCAATATATAAGAAATAAGAACAGATTTCCTAAACGAGAGACATACAAATGCAACAAAATATATAACAGTATAATATCGCAATCTTATTAAATATTTCTTCTATAATTTTGTAATGAAACATATTATATATCAGAAAACACAGTTAATATTTTTATTTTGATAGACGTAGCTTTCAAAATAATACAAAGACAAAACATATTTTTATTTGGCTAACTTATTTTCTAGACAAATCTGTGCTATAATGTACTAGTGATCTATTTATAAACGGTATATAGGTATCTTATTAATCAACTCAAATAAAACATATATTGCCAAATTTTTAAATATTGTTATTTTTAATAATTAAAAACATATATGTTGTACATAATGTATTTCAATTATTCTTTTAAATCGGATGCATTATAGAATGCATATAGCGACTTTGTATGCAAAAATTTTATAGACTTCTAGACAATTTATGGCTTGTCAGGAAACAATTGCTCCTTTCTGTTGTAAGCAATCTTGTTAGCAACTGTCATGACCACTTCGGAGAACTTCTTTTCAAATATTGGTTTAACTTTATTGATAATATCCTGTTGATTATCGTTTATGGTTTGACTAAGAATTTCATGTAGTTGAACCATATCTTTCTCGCTGTCATCAAACTCAAATTTAAATGTCTTAACATCGAGATTAACGTTTACTTTCGACGCATATATTTCTGTTCGATCGTTCTTAGTTTCTATTTTAAAGTCTATGACCAATTTTCCTTCTAAGTTATCTGTGAAAGAAAACATAGTTTGATCATTTCCGTGAAATAATAACTAAAATTTTGAATTTTTCATATTAAAATAAATAACTCTAAACTCTTTCATCTTATTTTGATGTTAAATCAACTGTTGTATATACCTGCAAAAACCTTAACCAGCCCCCTATTAGCAAGTGACACCAATAAACGTATGTCGAAGTCATATGTGGAGTCCATTTCAAGATGTTTAAGCATGAAATCAACATCGAATTGAAGCTGGTCAGGGGATATGTTAATAGACTTTATTTCGAAATCGCAAAATCCTCTTATTTTTGAATCTTCAACACTTAATTTAAGATTATCTGTGTTGTAAATAACTATTTTGTCAATAGTCACAGGCTCGAGCGGAGGAATGTCATATTCCGGCATCCCCGTACAGACCTTACTCCTTGCACTATTGATGCTATCCACAATGCATTCACCATAGTTGGGATTTTTGCGGCCACACACATGAATATAGGATGCTATGAAGAGTATAAATATTTGTTTTAACTTGAAACTTAATATTAAATTGTATAAGATATGTAAAATAAATACATATATGTATTGAAATATAACAATTATTTCAAACTAGAGAGAGTATGTTTTGTAATGCAATTGAAATGCAATACAATGCGTGAATACAATTTGTTCCTAATATTTATGATAAATTAATTTAATAAAGAAGGTGTTATTTAAGTATATAGGTTTCATTATATATTTTAAACAACTGATAATATTTTGCTATTAAATTACATAAAATTTATAATAAATAAAATTAAATTGGACACATTAATAAATTAAGCAAATTGTTTAAGATGTTCATAAAGATATTTAATATAATAAAGAAAAGCAGAAAGATTAAACTTGTTCAACTTACATCTTCATATTGTAAACAATTAAAAATCGAAACATTTCAAATAATTAAGTTAAAAAGCATATCATTGTGTATGTAAGTATTTAAATTAATTCAAGAATTTGTCAATTATTACATTTCAATTATCGATTAGTAAAATAATTAAACAAAATTACATTCTGCACAATTTTTTTTAATTTTTTTGTTCAGTGTTATGAAATAAGATATTCCGATAATTCTAATAAGAGTCATTCTATTAATAGTTATGTAAGCACAAACTTCTAACTGTTTTTATCATTATAAAAAGAAATTACAATTTTATGTTAATAAAATATTTTTAGCAAAATATAACCGTTAGCTACAAATTACAATAACATCAAAATTCCAATTAATTAAAATTAAACAGAACTTTCGTTCTCTCAGAATATTCCCGTTATATTTGACTATACGTTTACAAATTCGAATTGCTCTATTCCTGCAATTTAACTGATATTAACTTTTATTATTTAATTAGTTTTATTTTAACATTATTTGTAAATATTATATAAAGTACAACAATATATTATAAATTAAAATAGAATTTAAATTTTTAAGCTGTCATGCATATTAAGCATGACTTCCCAATCAGCACACAATATTTTAAAAAATATTTTTAAAAATATTTAAAATACATTAAAAAAACCTTTTTAAAAACATTTAAATAATGGGTTAAGTGCTCT